GTGGAATACGCTTTCAGATATACGAGAATAGCAATTTCTTCTCTTTCCTTTGCGCCTTCGTTATCGGGAATGAGAGAGAGAGAGAGAGATAGAGAGAGAGAGCAGGAGGAAGGGGAGAATCAAGTTAACACAGGTGTACACAGCCGTTAACCGACGAGAGGCTGCGCTCTCTCTCTCTCTCTCTCTTGTCACTCTGCTCTCCAGCTCTCGTGTACAAACGTGACCGCCGGAAGGTTAACTGTCGGCAGGTAACAGTGGTCGATTAATAACTCGCTGCATAAGTCTCATATAATTACGTTAACCCGGGACAGCGCGCATCATCAATTATACGCAATTAGACGAGCCGTGGTAGTGGCGTGGCACAGTGCGCCGTACGATACGTACGTGCACACGGGCGTAGGAACGGCCTCGAACCGCGTGTGCATCGACGTTTACAGTAGGTACAGCCTGTATGGGAGGTCCGAGTATCTCCATCCGACGTCCCCACCTGCAGTTAACCCCGACTCGCTCGAGGCGCGCGCCCATTGGTCGCCCCGCCATTTTTCCGACTTTAATGATAATGGGATAATGATGATTACACCGTCCAACTACCTGCACTAGACGGCACCTCTCTCTCTCTCTTGCTCGCCTCCGCCACGTCCTGTTCATCTACCTATCTAGCCGCCTCTCGGCGATCGCCGTCCAGCGTGGAAAGCGGATAGATCGATCCGTGCGTCTCGTCAAGGCGAGTCGCGGGGCCTTCGCGCCCCGTCTCGGAGCAGCGTGAGAGATTACTTCGAAATGCAACGAGACAAAAACGTCCGACGGTATATCGGCGCTCGTAGCGTAGAGCGCGATTGATGATCGTGCGCTTGTTGTTCTCTCTCTCTCTCTCTCTCTCTCTTTCTTCCCTTTTGTTTAATTTAACAGGGGTAATCGGAGACGGTCACATCCGTTTCCCGAAACGAGGTAAACATACCACTTATCACCGTGGTGATTTCTCGCGAGTACCTCGGGCGGAACGCTACGGCGGAATGCAACGGCGGGCAACGTTGCGCGTGCAAAGGTATTAACGCATTCGTTCACCTGGACGACTCTATATCACGGGGGCGATACGTCATCGTCGCCGAGGCGCGGATATATGTATTACGTGTGTATATATACGTCGCTTTGGTTTCTCGAACGAACGTTGGAATTTCCGAGATATTTCAGACCGTCCCGGTCGGTAATAGGCCGCGCTAGATGAAGGATGTTTCCTCGCGGCTGTATATCAAAGCGGACGGCATTGCGCGCGGATCGGCGCGGCAACGGCTGGCCAACAGGCTGATTACTGTTTAATATTAATGTAGAGATGAAATTAGTCGATAAATGGTGTAAATCGTACCGGCAGCCCCGCTATCGCCACCGGGGGTAGGAAACCACCCACTGCGTATCGGCCGGCTCGCGCGTTCCAATTGCGTTCACGTGGAACATCGACAGTCGCACATGGACGGTTTCGCGCGGCGTCGGAGTCGGCTTCGGTGCACGATCACCGAGAAAACCATTAACCGCAGGAACTATTAGGGCACAGACTGCCGAGAGGCAGTAACACACCAATGATGTACACCTACGTTTCCGACCGTAATCTCGCGAGATTTCAAGGATTACGCAAGACGCGTGGAAACGGTTTCACAGTCTGACCGATAAAGTCGCCGCCTCCCGGAACCTCACCGAGTTTAACGAGTTAATAACTCACATCTAACGTCGCGAATAAATACGAGCTCCATGCCGTCTTAATGCATTCGAGTTGCGCAATAACCGGTCGAGCCGACAGACGGGGTTGCTCGTCGGAGAGTCACCGTCAACCCTTCTCACTTTTGCGCGTTTATTCGTTAAAGCCTAATCAGTGTATCGTCACTTAGAAGCAGTCAATGGTTATTTGGGGGGGGGGGTCATAGTATATCAATAAACTATATATCAGTCAAATTTCGCTGAGTCTGTAGTCAAATTAGCAGCAACTGTTTCCATCAGGATAATCTGACCGCAGAAACAATGAGGAAAGATCTGATTTATTGTCTCTTTTTTTATTATCTTGAACATCCTTAAGGTATTGTCAATGATTTTACCTGAAACATTCTCAATTACGTTTAATTGGCTTAATTTACTTCGTATTTGAGGAACACGACCACTCTGGTGGTACTCGAACCCGAGATTTCTAGCTCTTGAGTCTGCTTGAGTCGTCATGTGAACTACGCCAAATATGACGTATACAGAGATGAAATTAGCCGATGGTTTGTGCATACACACGTATGCGTATATATATTTCTGCTACGAGGGGAGGGATGCGTAACAGCCATTTGCAGTGAATCTTTCACTGGCTAATATCGGAGAAGTATAATGCAAAAGAGCTGAATGAAAGTGTTTCCATTAAAAATGAACGAACACTCACCGATTATCGGTACTGTTTCATCGATTCGAGCAATGATATTTTTACTTCGATTCGACTTAAAAAAGTACAGACGTGCGCTTTTCATTTCGCTATTTCGGCTAGCTCTCCTTTTCAATTAGCATCGCATCGACCCGAGTCTCGCGTTATACCTCGTTCATACATTATTTCTCACATTTTTCTCGCATAATTATTAGCAGAAATTTCATGCATTTTTTTGATCAGTTAGTGGACACTTTGTTAACTTCTGTTTAATAACTGAGGAATTGAATTTCTGAGATCCCAATCAAGATATAACCGCATTTCACACAGTTATTGCGCACGAAAGATGCGCGAAGTCTGAATCCGTTTACTGAACGAAGATAGAACGTGGATAAATGAACAATTGATTAATAAGCAAGCCTGCCGCTCACGAACTGAACAGTTTTGCCCTATAAATGCCCTTGGATAAATAATATAACCCCTGAATTATAAGTAATATAGCCGCTGAAATATAAATAGCCTCTGAATCGAAACTCCATCGAGTTCTTGTCCATTTCCTACGCAGTATCGTTACAATTAATGAGAGTGCATCAATACGCTAAATAGTAACTGGATTGATGTCTAGGAAAACCGCATACATTCCTACCAGGGTAAAGGCAGGGGTTTTGATTAGGACGAATTCTCTCGCTTCTGGCGAAGAAGACATGAAAAATATGAGACCGCGCAGCCGCGCGGCGTCTTCCGTGAATGAAACCCGACATGCAGACACTGCCCATAACGACACTGTGTCACGGAGACGGTGCTTATATGAAGACATATCGCCGCAGTTAAAGCGCGTCTGCGTTCCGGACTGCATGCTTTTCTTTCTATTCCCCGTGGACAGAGGTCAACTACAATTATTCCATTAAGCGTTAGATCACCGGCCACAATAGTCCGGAATAGAAACGAACGATCGATAAGCTGTCGGTCGCGGTGGTGCCGGCGGCTTGTCGCTTCGCCAACTGAAAAGCGCGAACCGACCTTGCGAGCGGATTTCCCGACAAGGGAAGGAGAAGACGAAAAATCGGAGCCTCCTCTTTGCGATGTCATGCAACTGTCACGGACGGATCGAACCACGCGCAGCGGTTTGAAGGAAAAAGTTTTTAGCCAGAGCTTTGAATTTCGATGAAACCGACAAAAGTGAAAAAAACCGACCAAATGAAACCGTAAAAGAATAATAAATGGCAAACAATTAAGATTATTTCACTACAGAACACCGTAAAATTTACATCAACTTGATGTGAAACTTTAAAAAACGAGATTCGATCAAGAAATATATATATATCTTAGACTGTGCAGACCACGGTGGTAGCGACGGCAGCGATCGGCCATTGTCACTTTATAGCTGCAAATCCGCCGGCTTAGCGGTAAATACCTATTCTCGCGCGTCTCGTAATTTACACGAAGAGGCTTAAAACCGTCCGGTCTCGCCGAGACAACGCCAAGCAGACGCGCGATCTTACCTCGGACTGAGGATTTGTCCTCCGAAACAGAGCACCGGAGCTGTCACAATGAGCGATTAGGCGTGCCGAAGAAACGACCGGTGCTCGTATTCAGCCATCTATCTCGCCGCTTGGATGGCGGCGCTTAACGAGGGCGTTAATCGAACGCAACGGCGGCACCTTTCTAAAGCGCGCGCGCGCGCTAAATCAGTTGCAAATTATTGCGCCGGCTTTACGCTACGTAATTGTCACTGAGTTTCGCTGCCATGTTGTAAACGCGAAGGGGTTAGCCGCTTTTCATTTTCTTGGCCGTACGATAGGCGGCCTAAACGGCCCGGCTGAGATTTCACTACTTCGTACGTGCGCGCGAGCAAACGGCCGAACGGGCGTCCAGCTTTTATGAGTCTGCCCACTTACGTGTAATATAATAAACGTTACGCTTTATTGCCCGAGTGAAATCACAGCGATAAACACGCAATAAATACGATATATTATTACTGGTGACAAATTGAATAAAAAGCCATGCAACGGAGATGGCGTCGGGTCGGAAACTGAAAAATTTATTTTTGTAACTGCTATCAACATATTTGATACACTGATAAAAAATTATAGTTATTCTCGGCGCCAAATGTACCCTTTTTTAATTTTAATCACATAAATAGTCAGGAGAACCATTTTCCCAGTAAGTGTTACTATAATGTCAGTGATGGTAACTTTACATACATGTTGCTGTTATAAAATATGTTTGACACTGAAAATAACTATGATCTTCTATCAATGTATATACATTATGATTGGAGATATAACATTTTTTGTTTATGTAAATCAAATATATTATGGAGAAGGCAAACTTCGTAAATTCGTTTAAGCTAGCGCAATCAAATTATTTGCTTAGTTTGGTTTTGATTTCTTCTAAAAAATTCTTTTGGTTTCAACTGTTTTATGAAAAGATCAGTTCTTTTTACAATTTTCCGCGACTTTTTCTGCGTTAAAGCTGACATTCCATAACAAGGCTGGACGTTTTACGTGGAAAAATTGTATTTATTTATAAATGTCCCGTGAGACAAAGTGTATACTAGACATGATAACTTTTTTCCATCATTTATACAATTTCCTCTCTTTTACGTTTTCAGGTGTGTACACACTGCAGGAACATATAGGCGATCACGAGATCGTAATACCGCGGAAGGTGAATCATCAGGGCGATTTGATCTCGCATAATGTAACGCATCATCACCACAAGGACGGGCCAATCGTTCATTATCGAGTGGCAGTGGCCGGTAACGAGTACCACATCGAATTGACAGCGGCCGACAACTTCGTCGGCCGCGCGATGGTCGTGGAAAGGCGAAAGCGGGATCTGTACGTTCGCAACCCGGCGAAAAGTCACGGCAGCAAATGTCATTATCGGGGATTCATTAAGGGCCATCGGAATTCCCGCGTCGCCCTGTCCGCCTGCGACGGTCTGGTGAGTTACACTTTCGATTTTCCGATAGGTCGCGTTTACACAAGTCGATATCCGCGTCACGCTCAATCGCTGAAAATCTGAAAGCTAAAGTTTGCGAGAAATCGCTCCAATATGGCTTTTCACGCAGTCGCACGATATACAACTACGTATTTGTGTTATTAATTCGATATGAAACGAAGATGAGAAAAATCCGTAATCAAAATATATCGCACTATATATTCTATTTTTCGATATAACATGTTCCGCGATATGTGCACCGTTTTCGATACATGCTGAATTCGATCTTCACCAAGTGATATATTTTTTCATTAAAAGACCAAGTACAGTAAAATATAATTTGTCCTATCACTCACTTGTACTCTTTTATCATGTTTGAAATACTTTTAAAAACCATCGGTCGATTTCGGTATACACGTTGTCACGAGTCTTAGAAAAATGTTAGGAAAGAAATATTGGAAGAAAGTTGGCTACTGAAAATGTTAGAGTAAACAAAACGGGCAACGACATTTCGTGAAGATTGTCCTAACGAACATCGTATCATTTGGTTACAAACACAAAATGTTCAAAAAAAGTTATATTTTAAGTTACATTTCATTCACAACAAGCTACAATTTCTTTAACGTGTTTTGTTTTATTCTACGATATCTTGTTTGTTATTCTTCAATTTTCTAGTTTCGAAATAAATTATTTGTTTCGTCCTACTGTGCCTTTTACGCTTGGAGCATCGAACTTTCGCAATAAATGACTGTCTAATTCACAAAAAAAACCATAAACCAAATCATAGTACATTTATCAAACTCCACATCGTGTGTCGTTTTCGTGACGCAGCCGGCGCGAATTGAGAGTCGCGTAAAAACGGTCCGGCGCGGAACCGTTGTTAAATATTCCAAAATCAATTCTGTCACGGTGAACAGAGAGCCGTTGCGTCTGGATCAATCGGCTGTCACTTTTACCGGCGCGATCTGACGCGTCGCGATGTCGGAGCCGCGTCGGAAGCTAAACAGAACGGCAGGCGCAGCTTCGAAGAGATATAATATGGCAAACGCGACACGATTGAATCGTCAGCTGCAATTTGCAGGCGGAAGGCAACTCCCTGCCTGTTGCTGCCGGCAATCTAATGCACCCGCGTCGCGACATCGAATGCACCGAAGAGCGTAACGAGAGATAAAATCAACGCTGTCGACGAATGTCGATGCATCAGTACGTCCGTCCGTGCGTAAGGACGAGGAGACCGAGAGAGAGTCGAGGGTCCTGCCGGTTAAATTATCTATTGTCGCACGTCGCAATCAGGATCGTATATCTGCTCGGTTATGCTCGCGTCGTGGATCGGACATAAAGTTTCATTCAACGCGACGAAATCCCTCTTGTCTCCGTATATGTGTGTTTGTGTGTGTGAGAGAGAGAGAGAGAGAGGGAAAGACCCTCATGCGTTCACGGATGGTAAATGGGCGACAGCAGATACATCAAGCGAATACTCAATTCGCGTTATCGGGCTCGCGCGAATATCACCACGAGAGCATTCGACGGTGTATCACCCTTACGGCATACGGAACACGCTTTGGCTCGTTAGGTCTTTTCACTACCAAGGATCACGGTGATTTTAAATCAATCATATCGCGCTCGCACGCTAGTCTTACACGGCGACGGAGCGAGCTCCACCCTATGTGAACCACGTAGCGCGACCCGCGGAAAACACGCGAGAGTAAAACCGGTAACAAAATACTCTCGTGTGCCGCGGGCTGCGGCGCTCGTTGATGACAAGACTGCCGTTTTCCTTTTTTTTCCCCCCCGCAAAAGATCAGACTCGGTTATTCGTTAACTGTGAGGATTAATTAATGGCTCCGGCCGGCGACTCACGGTCAGCAGCTCGAGCGCGCGGCTGCAGCGGAATCGAATAGTCTGGCCGTGGCGGCGAGAGCCAATTTTTCAGGGGTGATTTATCGCGTATCTGAAACGCACTCTTTTCGTCAATGTCGCGAGGTGAACCAGAACTGTTGGGATGGAAATCCGACCGAAGACAGGAGTCAGTCGAGCGCGCGCGGTCAGCCTGTTTTCAAAAATTGTTTGTCGACGGTGCCATTTGCGTTATTGGCCGCGCGCGATTTTTGCGAAACGATGAATCACGATGCGTCCGCACGGCGAAAGGCCAGACGTGGCGGCAAATGTGACCGGCAGCGAATTCCCCCCGCGACAGAGATCCACATGCTCCGACTTCGTGGTTTCGGCTAATATACTGGTAAAATTCGTAAAGATTTCTGAGAAAATAAATCTACGGATGAAATATCTTAAAGTATCAATTTCAATTACGGGCGATAACAGGCGCGAGAGAGATACGCTATCGTCTCGCAACTCGTTCTCGAATTTTCAGTTTATTTGAGATCTTTCGCTCTTTCGCTCGTCGACGGGATCCCCTCGTAAGAGGGAGCAGACGCCCCGCATACGCGGCGTACGCTTCTAAAACACTTGAGAAAAACGGGGCTCGGCGCGTCGACTGCAACGAAGATTATGCCGCGGAAAGTTGAAAATTTTCAACGAGCTCGGCGAAAGCAACACATCTCTCTCTCTCTCTCTTTCGTCGGGCCGCCGGCCGCCCTTTTATCATCATCCCCCGGTTGAAATTTATGAGTATTAGTCTACGCGCCGTAACTGCAAACCGCCGCCGCGCCGGCCGCAAGAAGAGGAAGCGGCGCTCCGCGGAGTTTCCTACGCGCGAACGTATAAAATCACGGGGGTAACGGCGGGGTAAAGGGCGGGACGAAGAGAGGAATGCGAAGGCACCGGGAAAAGAAGCGCCGGCACCACAATGGTAAAGCCAGCGAACGAGCGAGCGACGTAGGGGCTTGCGCGAGGGCATGCATCAGCGCAATTTGCTCGCAGCTTCCAGATAATGATTTAATTTGCCACGGCTTGGCAGATTTATGACGGCGCACCTAGTTGTTGTCCACGTACGCGCGCACACGTGCGGCCGCGCGCTCACGGGCGTCTGCACGTGCACGTGTTACAAGCCGCGCGCACACACACGGACGACGTACGCTCGCGAAGCGAAGCACTGACCCCCCGGCACCCGTACCGTCGGTGTCCCATCGGCCCGGGGTTCGCCTTATGGACGCCCGGTTCTCACGCAATACCGTGTAATAGCTCAATTTTCTCCGGGAACCTCGCGAAACTGCATATCGGACGCGGGCTGATCGCCATTCCTCCGTGTACACGTGTGTGTGTGCGCGGGGCGTGCATATTATAGAAACACGAAATTTCGCGAAAATGCGGCGGCGAGTCTCCCGCGAACAACGCCGCCCGACGGGGTTGCTCGGGGTCGCGAGATACTCCCCGGACGGCGCGCTGCGCTGAGAGGGAGTACGTGTCGGGGAAAATTAACTCGGATTTCCACTGTTTGCGAAGGGCCTGCAACGGAGGTGGTAAGACCGATTTTCGGAATAGGGGGTGAGAGGTCCGGTGGAATAAAGCGGTAACACCGGGGGTAAGCGGAACGGATCATTTCCCGCTTCCTACCAGCCTCGCCGCCGGCCAATCCCGCTTACTCCCGGTGTGCTTTACCTCGCCGGAAAAACTCTCTTACTCTCCTTACTGCCTCCGTTGTCGACGGCCCTTGAGACAAACGAGACGGTAGCGGCGACGCAGTAGCTGCGATACCGCGTGGGAGCAGGTGAGAGAGAGAGAGAGAGGGGGCGCTAAGTGCAAGGGAAACAAAAATTAACATAAATCTTTGTGCAATCGTAAACGCTCGCGCATTGTCATCGAGCCGGTCCGGCGGAACGGCTGATTTCGACACGTGGCTACGTCGGTGCGCGCTACTCTGTTTACCGAGGTTGTCCTACGTAGCTAAGCGCACCTACCTCTCTCGCGGGTGCTACTCGCTTTTATTGGGCCATAAAATGTTCCGCAGGCACACGAGGAGGCACGCGAGTATGAGCAGCTCCGCGTACGTAAAAAGAGAGAGAGAGAGAGAGTTGTTTCGACGCATAACCGCTATAAAACTCGAGCCTACTCGTGCGGTATTTACGCGCCGGTTTACGCGGAACTATTTAGGGTCCTATTTAGCGAATCGCGACGGCGGACGCGGGCTTCACAAGCCGAGAATTAAATATCCTCGAAATTTTCGCAGAGACCGGATCGCCGACTTTAGAGCCGATTCCGCGCGACGGTTAACGGACCGCTCCGCAACTCTTTCGCCGAGAGTGCAGAGCTAATCGTGCGAGACCGTTGCTCCGGTCATTCCTAGTTGAATTTCGCATTGTGCGAGAGCACTTAAGTAATATTTTATAAGTGTAAAACGTTGTACAGGCGCGTCCCGGTTGTTTAGTACGAGCGCTTTAATTTACGTGTATTTATCGCAAGACGCGAAGCGTATCGATGAGAACCCCGATTTCGCATAATGACAAATCCCTGAGCGCGATCTAAATATATAAATCCCCGTCCACACGCATTATGAATTACGAATACAAGCCAAGCCGTTGAATTTTCGAGCGGTTTCGCCAGTAAATAATACATCGTTTGCGCGGCTTTTCCCCTCATCGCCGGAGTTGATCGCGAAGCGATGTACATCCGGTAATACTTGTCGATGTTATTTCGCACCGGCAATCTCCGTAATTGACGATGATCCGATTAGCGTGTCGCGCCACCTGTTTTACGGATCTTCACGCGTTTGCTTACGGTGTAAGCGAAGCGATCATACCCTGCGACGTTACGGATCCGTTCCGAGCACGGGCGCGAGCATGTATATGCAGGAGAGAGACCAAATGTAGTCGGCATCGATACGTAATGTCCGATAATTTCAGGCTCGCTTGGTAATGGCCTTATCCCGCAGGCTAATCCGACGGTACAGCCTCCATTCCGACGGCATAACGCTGAGTTAGAATCGAATCTAACGATGATCGGTCGTCTTCGGCCGATGCAAGCATTGATTGCGCGCGGCGGTTGGTTGGGAGATCGAATCGCGTCATGCTGTTTATCCCGAACGCATTTAACTCGCATATATACTC